CCTCTATGTTCTTAATCTCTAAAACTTATTTTTGGTCCAGTACAGACCGTAGGTCTTTTCTCTATGTTCTTAATCTCTAACACTTATTTTTGATCTGATACAGACCATAGGTGTTCACTAGATTAGAGTTGAAATAATGCATAAACTTGCTCAATCCTAATAAAATAAAAAAAGCCAACTTTAATATCTGAGTTTGAATATTTACTGGCTGTTTCAAGCATAAATAGTGTCAAAGTAAAATTACTGACCTCCTCTCCCCCATCTGAGGGTCTGTTCACAGGCCAGGACTAAGCCTTCTTTTAATTCCACCCCCATCCATAATCCTCTTACTGATCCCACACAGGCTCTGTACCCAAGGTACAAGAATGCTTGCAGTTTTCGACACCTTATAATCACAAAGACTATCTGGAACTCTATTAAATGAAAACCACATCATTTACTCAAATATTTCAGTGCTTCTAAAGAACATTATGGCCTTTATATCTGGAAATTATTTTAGGCAATAATTTGAACACCTCCCTGCCAAAAAAAAAGAAAGAAAAAAGGTGAAACAAATTTCTGCATAGGAAAACTTAAATTCCTTTTATGGATGCAGAAGAATGGAGAGGTAGGTGAAGATAACTTGTTGGAGGTTTTAGCCAAAGTTCAAGGCCATGATTATAACGTCATCACCTCTGTCACTCGGCTTCAGTTTTAAAGTAACCGAGCTTGGTGGCCTCACCATGGTGGACTCGATGAATGGTGTTTCTTAAAAGCCTCTTTGTTTCTTACCACCAGCATCTCCTTAGTCTCTGATGGTTTTAAAATACGGTGACTAAGCTTGTCTGCCTCGGGCTGGGATGGCCACTGTGGGTGCCGTGAGACAGGCTCGCCGGGAAAACTCTTCCCTGCACCAGGAGCTCCTCTGTGGAGCAAGCGCCTGCTCTGCGGAGGCCCCTCGGCAGACACTCACCTGCGGGACAATCTCCCTGTCGCCTGCCCCGGGCCCATCGTACATCTCTAATAATAAGTGTTACCTGTTTTATTAAAGGTCTCACGCACTGAATGCCAAAAACAAAAAGCAGGGAAAAACAATGACTGTAAAATCAATCAAATCAAACCAGTTTGGATTTTTAAGTCATTGTCTTCAGTAGACAAATGATTTTCATACTGGTAAAAACTGGGTGCTAGAAAATTGTCTCCGGAATGAATTTCATAGAAATTATTTAGATGCCTTCGATTGGACAACAAAAATCGTATTTCTCTTGAGTCAAGGACAACAGCAAACAGCAGGTCTGCAACTCCGTCCCTGCCTGTTGAAAGGCCCCTGGAACACTCGGCACCTTATGTAACGAAGCCTGTGCCACAGATAAGGGCTCGTTTTCCTTATGTCACCATTTCCCGTCTCCTGCGTCCCCTTCGGCAGCACTGCACCTGACACTGCTCCCACGCTGCTAGTCACACTGTCCTCTATAAAGCGCTTACTTCAGTAGGGTCTGACCAAGATGTCAAACGAGCCAGGAATAAATCTGTTTTTCAATCTCAGTTGCTTTGTGTTCTCTCTTGGTAAACATCAATTCCCACAGTAAAACTACAAACCGGGACAGACAAACCAGATAAACCAGGTCTTATGAGGTTCTCCCGGTGGGTGACTCAAAAGCAACCAGAGTTGTTACTAAGTCATCCCACGGGTACGGCCTACAAGGTTTGGAACAAGAACATCAGTCACCAAGGCGGGGAACAAAGTTTCAACAGGACACTGACAGCTATCTTTCCACTTTCTCATCGGGGGTCCTACACCTATATCAAAAGGAGGACACGTTATAAAGGACAAGCAATGGGAAGAAACTCTTAGGTGCCTAACCAAAAGGAAGGTGCAGAGCAAAGACGTAAGGAAGCGGATGCAGTGCTCTGTCTAGGAATGCTGCCCGCAGTTCAGGCAGTGATGCGCATTAGCTGGGCACAGAAATGGAGCAGCTCCTTCAAATCCCGCTGGTCCTGGGTAGCTTGCGGGTAACAGTAAAAGTCAAGAAGGGGACACCTCACAATTATCTAAATGCAAGATCTTAGGTAGGAGAGTGTCTTTTTGAATCGCCAAGATCAGATGAAACATGTTACGGGAGTAACACCTACTCAGTTATAAATCTGCTGAATCTAAAACACACGTTTTTATAGAGAGACCCTAAGAAGCTGGTTCAGAGGTATCTAAAGGCATAGAGTTTACACCTAAGTGATCTAAGTTAATAATTTAAAACCACATATCTTAGGAAATGTGTTCTACGGGAAGGAGTGAAGCCCAGATATCCTAGATGAGCAAGAAATTGTGAAAAAAATATTTCTTAGCAAAAGTAGCACTGATCTCTGCTGATCTCTCTTAGTTTCAACAGAATAACATGACCAGATGAACACACAGCTATCTAAACATAACACGCAGAGCCATGGTTTAAGTGAAATATTTTCACTTTGAAAACTCGTACCATTATCCAAAGATGTTATCATATCACAATGAATTTTTAAATTCCATGACTCTGGAAAGTGACTGCATGAAAAATAATTTTATCACCACTAGTCTGGACAGAAAAGAGCAAGAGCTGTCACTAAAATAGAGGGAGAGCTACAAAATGTGCCACAGGAACAATTAAAAAGATAATACATTTTGCTGTACAAATTGCTCAAAGGTAATAAAAGGCAATGACGCCCCATCAGAGGAGGCGCCACACTGGTCGCATCTCTAAGCAAAGGCAAATCGAAACGCCAAACAAGCATGTTCACAGCAGCAGCTGACTCCACTGTGTGGGTCGTAATCAGGGAAGCGCTTCCTGGTGCAGGAGTAGTTACAAAAGCTTATCAGACTCCTTTAAAGAGAAGGATCTAGAACAGAATTTTCCCATAAACTTTTCCTAAAGGATCCAAACCATTTAGCTTCTATCATGTTAAATACCAACAGAAAAGTAAGTCTGTTATATCAGTGTTCCTATCAGATAAACTAGATAAAAGTTTCCCCAACAAAACACTATTCACTCATTTAAAAATGTGTAGGGGTCCAAGCCATTGGAGAGGCAGAGAATTATTCAGAGAAGTCCAATTCCTCACCTGTGGGGTCCTTTAGCTTATAGTTAGAGAAAGCACACACATGTCATTGGCTCTGGCTTCTTCCAGAAAGAAACTAGGGCTTTCTGGAGTGAAAACAGTCCTAGAAAAGTAACAATCTAGCTTGGTCACCAAGAAGTCCTTTCTCTACTCAAAAGATTGGCACTTTCAGGCAGAAGCTCAGAGCCGTGGAACAAGAAATACCCTAGAAACTCCTACAGCGTGTCTCTGATGGACATGTAAGTGGGTCAAGGGAAAAGATCTCATTCCTTATTCGAACATCAACTTTAAAACTCTTCTCGCAACGGAGTTAAACAAAACTAGCATTCTAATAGTTCACTGAAGTTCCTCTCGTGGCATGAGATAACTTTACGAAGCGCTAAAGCTGAGACAGTGCTGCATGATAAATGCTTTATTACCTCAGTCTAGAGCGCTGAGTAGGGCAACTTTTAATAACATGCATGGTAACTGCTTTAGGAACACGTATTTCACGTAGCTGGTTGCTAGTCACTTGGCTCTAAAACAGTCATAATATGGCAGTTTAGGATGTTTAACAAACCCCAACACAGTCTACTACCGTAATCTTGAATAAAAGACTTCCGGTTAAAATACACCATTTCCAGGATTCCCAATTGCCAGTGATAACTCCAGATGGGCTGGATCTGTTCGCATCCTCAGATGGACACGACCAAGAAGATTTCCTGGTGAAGTCGCCTATCGCAACATCTCCCTGAACGCAGGGAAGCGAGGAGAGAGACATGTCTGCGCTCGTTTCCAGGGGACAGCGTGGCTGCCACGCTAAATCCGAGAGCGAGTGTGAGCCCCCAAAGGAAGAGTCTACATGAAAAACGAAGGCCAGCCCCGCCCTGGCTGTGGACAGCTCAATCGGACACAAGGTGCAACCCACAGACCAAAAAACCCAGAGAGACAAGAGACTGTACAGAAGCCATCAGCTTTCAAACTTCAAAATCCACCCAGAGACAGACTCAGAAACGGAAGCCTTGGTCTTTGAAAAGTGACCTTCACAAATCAGTTCTGTGTTTGTTTCCATTTTCCTTCACAGTTTAAGCCTCAATCAAATCAGCAGTCTCCGGGGATTTTAAAATTGCTGTAGATTAAAATCCTCTCTGACTCAACTGTCTTACTAATGCCAAGTATTTAATAATTCTACTTGTAAGGGACGTCTTCTGATGAAACCCTGCTGTACGCGATCTTCAGATGCTCCCCAGCTGCTCCCGAGCATAAAGCATCGCTGTCCTTACTTTCTTTATCGCTCCACTTGGAGATGAGAAAATTATTACAAACAGTCTCTCTATTTGGCAGAGCCGGCAGAAAACAGTTTTACAATACTGATGTAGCAACTATCACCTAAGGAAGGCACCGACCGACTTCCAGGTACTAATGATACATATTCATGGCCCGGCTCCAAGGATAGGAAGTTAATAACTGTGATAGATAGACTAGAGTTAAGTTAATGAATTTCTAAACTTTATGCTTTCAATAATAGAACCGTTTAAGCCTTAGCATTTGGACTCTCTCCTTCCACAGATCAGGCACTTTGATACTCAACAGGTTGAGTAAATTGAATCCATATATTGTATTTACGTTCTCTGTCAAGGTTGCTTCTCCACATTTGAGAGATCAAAGGCAAAGCAGTCATCGGCCCTGTAGCCTTCAATACTGTGTTCATTACATTTAATCAAGTGCCAACTCCACCGCATCATTCACCAACCTTAACAATATTTAAATGCACGGCACTGTTTAGCAACAAATGTAGGCGTAGTATCGTTTCAAAACACACACACGCACACACATCCTAAAACAAAACAAAGAAAGGCAAAAAAACTATCATTCTTTACATTGAGCAAGAAAAGAAATTTTTAAAAATGCACAGAACTACCCAATAAGCACTTTGGAGGTGGTTTTTCTACCTGAGGCAGCATCAATCACGGTGGAAATTCCCCTTCGGTCAGAGACGGGACGGGATGACCCTGGCATGCTGACTGGGTCAGAGCGCACCGGCTGGATCCTGCAACGCAATTTAATTTAATTCACATATGTTACCGGCATCGAAACTGTCGCTTGCTACAACAGACCTTAAATCAGGAATGCTGGACTAGCCCAATCTATTAAAGAACCATTCATTCTAAAATTAGACAAACAGGAGAGCTGCGGTCCCTGATTCTTGCACAAGGCGAAAGCACAGCAAATATTTTCTACACTCCGGACCCCCTCTTCTCTTTGTGTATTATTTAATAGATTTTAAGTGAGGGATTGAATACTTGACGTTAATGTAGAGAAACAAATGAAGTAGAATGGGAGAGGAAACAAAATACTTTATACGGAGACCTTTGGCTTTTGCAAGGGGCAAATATAAAGAGTTTTGAGAAAACCTCTAATTCATGAACAGTGCAATAGCTAGCAATGCCTTCTGTAAAAGGCAGCAACACTAGGAACACACTTTTTAAAATTCATCTTTATCGTTCAAAGTATTACAGATATTCCCCCTTTTCCCCCTTGGGCCCCCTCTACCCCACCTCCGCCCCGTCCCGAGGCCTACAGCACTGCTCTGTCCATGGGTTATGCATAGATGCACGGAAGTTCTTTGGTTAATCTCTTCCCGTCGCCCCCGCCCCTTTCCCTCTGAGATCCGTCAGTCTGTATTAACTCCCTTGAAATCCTCAATGAAAGTTATTTTATATGTGACAGGATAGCAACACTTTGGGGATGTGACTGCCAGGGATTTAGCTAGGATCACTGGTATCTGAGTTACTTCCATAAAATTACCCACCAGCAGGTAAGAATCAATTAGAGTCTCAGCAGGACGGCAATTCACTACACACGATTTCAAGTTGCTTACACGTGGTAAATCTATAAGCACCAAGGCTCTTTTTCTAGCTGCATTAGGTTAATATTATGAACATAAAATATCTGTATGACTAAATGGTCTGGGCGTCCCAAGCAACGTAGAAGAATAAAAACTTGTTATGACAACATATGCGGGCACTTCGGAAATCTGTTTATTCAACAAGTATTTGCTGAATATTAGTCATATATCACCATTATTCTAGGATCGAGCAGAAACAGAGCATGAAATACAAGGTGTGTGGTCCAGCACATGGACATTCACCACTGATGCACAGGAAACTAACGTGTGAAAACGGAGGCGGTGATAAGAGCCCACAATGAGGAAGAGGAGGACAGGCGAAGGGCCGGCAGGAGATGGAGAAGATGCAGCAGCACCAGGGACAGGGCAAGAAGTGCCCTCTAAGCACAGAGCTAGAGGAAGCAGAGCCTGGGCTTGTGACTGAGCATGGCAAACGCAGGCGCCGCGAGGGGCACCGTCTGGCTGAAGCAGCGAGTTCACAGTGGATATTGGATGGAAAGAAGTTGGTAAGGACCATGGGACAGATTACAGAAGCCTGAAATGCCAAGTGTGGGCTGCAGAAAAAGAGTATGTAGTTATTGAAAGCACACTTTAAATATATGCGCATTTGTTATAGGAAAGAGAGAAGTGGAGGGGAGGGGAGGGACAATCCATTTGATGGAGTAATACAACTTGGAAATGTAGTAAGTTAAACTGCTGAGCAAACCTGAACGGCAAAAGTTAAAAAGTTTACAGCTGCATTAAAAACACGCCCTAATAATAAAAAGCATACTTTGTAAACCTTGTGACTCTTACATGTGGGGATCAGAGAATATATATGATGAAAAATATATATATAGATGATAAACTCTAAGTGAATTTATATCAACACTTTCTCATTCAAAAACTTTTCAAAGCCTGAAAGAAGAAATCTGCAGGATTAGGACAGATGTAGTTCAGTTGAAAGATGAAAAACATCAAACGATCAGGAAAGGAGGGACTCATCAGGCTGTGGGCCGTCAGAAATATGAGGCAGGCAACACAAATGGGATGGCTTTAAAAAGTGTAATGACTATTACATTTTGTGAAATATAATCCAAATATTTATTGGACACAACGAGATCCCACATAAGATCTCCAGCGACAATAAGGAATCACAGATTACAGAGCATGAATTCTGCAACGCGACACTGTGCTCCAAGGGGAAATGTTCATACTGCCTAAGATGCTCCTGACACGTGAACATATTAATCCAGTCACGTGACTCCCCTCCTTCTTATTTCTTACCTGAGACTGTTGAGGTCAAGATCATCCGTATCAAAATCCAAAAGGGGCTGCGGAGTATCACTTGGACCATGAGACTGCAACACAGACGAACTGGAGGATATGACTGTGGTCTGGCCTGAGGGATGGATGGTTTTGAACTGGAACTGTGGGCCCATCCACAGACGCCTGTGGGGTCCAGTGTGCGTTACAATCTCTACCTGAAACAGATTAGGAACCTTGACTCAAATGTATTACGACCTCTGAGAGCCGTTCACAATCCCCCCGTCCTGTCTCTGAACACAAACATTCTCTAAGAATCTCATTTCGACCAAGTGAAGGAGGAACAGGACACCCACAATCAAAAGGCGGTAATTCACTGTATCCCTCCCTCCAAGTTTTCACATAAATAAACAAAATTTCATTTTGTGCATACACATGTATGTATGTATATAGACACACACACATACATATATATGTAAATACACACACAAACATATATAAAATGCAAACACATATACGAAACAAAAATCAGATGAGAGTAAAAGGGCCAGGTGCCTGTCCTGTCTCCTATGGCTAGCATCAGCTCCCCATGGACCACCTCTTCACTCATTCTAGACAGTTCTTACCACTCTGTGGGCACGCCCTCAATACTACACCTAAAAATCCACAGACTAAAAGTAATTCCTTCACTGAGGACCAAGCTCATGACAAGCCTGAAATTATTCTTGAATTATCCAAAATAATTTTCAATGCCCAAAGCCCCGTTTAGCTCCACAATTAAATATTACAAAAATTACTATACTGCCCTCAAAATACCCCATAATCCACTTTTAAATTAAGAAAATGCTATCTGTTTTCTTTAATTAGATTTGTCTTCAAAATACCACTACTTATTTAGAGTGTTTTCTCAACTACCATGAACAGTGACACAGGTAGTTTAAGGTCCACAAAGTGGTAAAACCAAAATGCTTTATGAATTTCATGCTTAGTCTATGGAGGGGGCTGGGAATGCTGCCAATATTAAATGAAACATTTTAAAGACAGAGTGGAGAGTAGAAGACACTGGGTAAAACTTGAAAATATAATTTTACAAATGAGCCCCGGGAGTAGGAGACTACCCCCGGAGTCCTCTGGTGAAAGACTCTTCCTCGGGGCCTTGTCACTGCGACACGCATGTCTGTGAACATGCTTTATGGAACCGGCTTCCCCTGTGCCTTCCTCCTGCCCCAGCTCCTCTACATTTAATCACATGTCTCTGATCGCGGTGATTAATTCTTAACAAAACATAACTGAGCAGGTGCACAGAGCAGCTCTGTGTTTGTAAGTCCTAAAGGGCAGGAAGAAAAGCGCATCACGTTCTTGGAACAATATTCCCGTTCCCAGCGCTCAGGGGGGACAGGCTCCCATTCAGGACAGGGATTTCTGATGAAAATCAGGCCACAGATAGCGCGGCCTGAGCGCTTGGAGCTCAAGGCCGTCAGCGCCCCGGGCCGAGGGGAAGGGACCCGGCGCGAGGCCGCGCGGGCCAGATGCGCCTGCCCGCTGCCC